CTGCTTCTCCCTCTGACCCTCCCCCCTCTCATGCTCTCTCTATCTCATTCTCTCTCTCGCAAATAAATAAAATCTTAAAAAAAAAAAAATTAAAAAAAAAATGAATAGTACCTTGCTCATAGGTTGTTGGGAGGATTCAATGAGAATACATGTAAAAAGCTAGAGCCATTCTTAGCACATACTAAGTGTTCAATGAATGCTAGCTGTTCTGTTATTAAGTAGGTGTTATTATTATTATTATTTTATTACCGCTGTGTTACAGATGGGGCTCAGAGAAGAGAAATCACCTGTTCAAGGGCACAGGTGCAGGAAGGGGTGGAGCCCAGGATTTGAACCTAGGTCTTCTGACATCAGAGCACGCACTCTCAGCATCATGCTGGATGACAAGTGAGAATTGAGTCACAGGCCTTTGGGAGATAGGAGGTCATCTTGTCTTCATTTTATAGGGGAAGAACCTGAGTTTGAGATCTTCTGACCCCTGTCCTTTCTCTACAAAGTCATTCTCTTGATGGAAACTTGACCACAGGATTTCTTAGCTGTTAAGGCTCGTCCTGGCAGAATATATTTTCCATTGCGAGGGTTTTGTTTACAAAACCTTTCACATGTGGGACTCTGCAGGAGCCCCTGCTTGGGAGGAGTGAGCTACTCTTGTCCACAGAGCCCCACACTAGCCTTGCAGATGCAGAAGGCAGACAGTGAGTCACTTTTCGGCGCCTGTGGGAGGGCGGGAGGCCAGGTGAGGCTGCAGGCCTCTGCAGGCCTCGCTGTTTTCCCCTCCTGCTCCACGGATGCTTTGATAGCCCGCCAAGAGGCAGCAGTGAGATGCAAGAGGGAGACTGACAAAGGACCCAAGTTCTGCCCTATTTGGGTGGCCTTGAAGAGAATGAAATCTCCAAAAACACTATGCTTCTTAGCCAAGAAACTATTAGGGGTGGAGCAGCTAGAGAAGGGAATTCATTTATTGAGTGCCTACTGTGTACCAGGCACTGTATCTCATTTCATTTATTTATTCACTTGTTGATTGAACATCTCATGTGTGCAAGGATAGCATCAGGTAGTGTGGTTGCTATAAAGAAGAGCACAGCAAGATGACAGCTTATAACAAGTGGCTCTCACCCAGAGGTGAGATTTTGCCCTCCCCCTGCAGAGGACATTTGGCAATGTCTAGAGACATTTTTGGTTGTCCCAAATTGGGGTGGGGGCTGCTCCTGTCATCCGGTGAGTAGAAGCCACAGATGCTGTTAATGATCCTACAGTACATAGGACAGCCTTTGCAACCAAAGCTGCCTGGCCTAACATGTCAGTAGTGCCAAAGCTGAGAAACCCTGGGGTAGAGAATGACTTTGGGTGATCTTTATTTAGGTCAGGTGGTCATGGATGGTCACACTAAGGATGGGACTTTTGATCTGAAAACGTCAGACAGTAAGAATGAGATCTGGGAAAGGGCATCACATGCAGAGGGAGCAGCAAGTACAAAGGCCTTGAGTCAGGAATGTATCATCAAAAAGACCAGTGCACGAGGGGCGCCTGGGTGGCTCAGTCGGTTGGGCATGTGCCCTCGGCTCAGGTCATGGTCCCGGGGTCCTGGGATTGAGCCCTGCGTCAGGCTCCCTACTCAGCAAGGAGCCTGCTTTCCCTCTCCCCCCGCCCCCACTCATGTTCTCTCTCACTATCTCTCTCTCTCTCAAATAAACAAATAAAATCTTTAAAAAAAAAAAAGACCAGTGCACAAGATCAGGCTGATTATTCTCCACCATATTTCGGATAAAAAAAAACTGAGGCTCAGAGGAAACAGTTTGCCAGCCCACCATACAATTACACAATGTGGGAGCCAGGATTTGAACTTGGATATGCTTCATCCTAGAGTCCCTTTGCTTTCCACTACCTCAACTGCTACTCTCAGAGGAATGGCTCAGCCTTCATTTTGCAGTTGAGACCTCTCCCCTACTTGACCCTGTAAATTATTTTTTTCTTATTCCATCCCTGAGCACTTGGTTCCAGCCCCGGTTTCTACCTCAATAACAAAAACCATGAAGATAAAGATAGCCATTACTTTCGTAGTGCTTACTGTGCACCAGGCACTATTCCACGTGAGCGATATCTGTATAGATACATAGATAAGAGATAGATCTCTCTCTGTATATGCACTCATTTGGTCTGCACAATATGCAGGTTTTAGGTACCCTTATTCTGTTGTGCCCATTTTATAGATAGGAAAATTGAGGTATAGAGAGAGGCTAAATGACATGTTCAACTAGTAAAAGGCAGAAGTAGGATTTGAGCCCAAACTACCTAGTTCCAGGGTCTGTGCTCTTAACCATAACACTGTGTAGTTGCTCTCTCAACAGGTGGTGAGTTTCTAGTCATTAGAGTAGATCATTCACTTGATCAGTGGCTCCTTGAGTTTAGTCACACGTAAGTTCAGCATAGAAGGGAATTTAGAGGTCACTTTATTCAGACATGGGAAGACTGAGGCCCAGTCTCAGAAAGTGACTTGTGCAGATTGTACCAGGAGGCAATGGTAGAGCTGTAACCAGAAGCCAGGTGTCCCACCCAAGTGCCTTGTGCTCCGCTGTGGGCCACCCCACCCCCAGACTTGCCTGCACATTCCTGGAATCTGCCGTCTGTTCTGTCAGGCTGCCCCATAGTGTCTTTGCTCTCCTGGGTGTCAGCCAGCAGCTGTGTCTGATATTTGTCAGGTTTGGGGCCACAGAGGAGGGGCCTGCTTATGGCAGAAGGCCCAGGCATCTGCCTCAGCCCCCACCCATCCTTCCTGTTTATAGACATAATCTCAGTTATTCCCGAATCTTACAGGTGCAGAAGTTGGGCCTCAGTGGGTTAAATGGCTCACCTCCTGAGGTAAGCCAGGACAGTTAGTGCTTCCCAAGTGGAATGAACATTCATTCATCCTTTCATTCACTCATTCATTCTTTCAGCCAACAAAAGCAAGCCTACATGCCTGAAATTTATGGTTCCTGCCCTCCAGGAGAGACATGCTTGGTATCCTGAGAGGAGAATGCCCCGGAAAGGATACCTAATCCAGCTGGTTCAGGCAGGGGATCAAAAAAGGCTCCTTGGAGGAGGTGATGGATACCATGGCTAAGTCTTAAAGGATAACTGGGAATTAGCCAGGCAGAAAAGGGGAAATGGACACCAAGAGGACAGCACATGCAAAAGCAAGAAGCAAGAGCCCTCTCTATGTGCAGAGAACCGCAGGTGGTTCAAGGTTGCTAGGCCTGTGGGTGGACGCCAAGATCATACAGTCATGATAGGGGCCACCTAGTGAGCACTTACTGTGTGTTGGGCAGTGTGCTGAGCATTAGCTCAACAACTTTCTGGGTTAGATGCTTTCAATATCCACACTTGCAGATAAGGAAACCGAGGTGCCGTGAGGTTGAAGATCTCATGGGTAGTGAGTGCCAGGGAATGGGCTGAGAAGTACATGGATTTTGCCTCCAGCAGTTGGCAGTTCGTTCTGTAAACCCGAGGCTTGCGGAGGTGGGGTCTCCCTTCCCCTCTCTGAATTGGTGCTGTGCCTCCTAATGACTCTGTTCCCTCTTGCAGCTGGAAGGACTGTCTAGAGCCCATGTCATCGCACAGGAACTGCTGTCTTCAGAGAAAGCGTGAGTCCCCAAGCAGCTGCCTGTGGCCTTGAGCTTGTTAACAGAACGTCACCCCTCCCTGGCTTAAATGGGATGGGAATTAATGCAAACTCAACCCTCTTTCCCTCTGCAGATACGTGGAGATGCTCCAGCACTTACATCTGGTGAGTTAATCATTTCCACTGTCCAAAACTCATTGCCCTTTTACAAGGCTGTGATATAAGAGGCAGAAAAGCAGTAAGGAGGCAGAGGTGATTTTGATGAACAGAGGCTTGGCAGCAGACAGATGTCCACCAAGACTTTTCGTGGACGTCTGTCTCCTGATTCATGTGCTTCAGGGGGTGAATGGCACTGTGCTTTCCATGGGTGTGTCTCTCTGCCTGGACCAGAGGTGTATGGGGGGATGTGCTAAGGTTTCTGGAAAGATGTTTGCAGTTTCCTCAGCCCTCTTGTTGAAGAAGGCAGGAGGAGGACAGATGTAGCGCTGGGTCATTGCTGTGTGTGCGAGTTTAGGTGTGTATGTGAGTATACGTGTGTGGGTGCATGCGTGTGTGGGGGGTGTATACATGTGTATGTATGTTTAGGTCTGTATGGAGAAGAGGATATGTTACCAGTGTGACAGAGCAGCTGGGGTTGAGAGAGGCTTTCTCAGTCATCCCAGCACTGGGGCAATAACACCTGAGCCCATGGAGAGGAAATCCTCTGGACTTTCAGAGGAAAGGAGGCCAGACTTGGAGACTGCCTGGGTATCAGGTACTGCCACCCTTTCCAACCCACAAAACTGCCTGGAAGGTCTCCCTTTGCAGTCAGTTCAGTTCAGTTCAACAAACACTTTTTGAACACTTGCTATGTGACAAGAGTTGGGAAGTAGAAAGATCAGACAGGTCCTTTCCCAGGAGCTCTCTGGCCAGTGAAGGAAACAGATTAGTAAATGAGTAATCATCTGGAGCACAGGGGGAAGAACTGACAACCTGGGGGAATCTAGGCAGACTTCCCTGAGGAGGTGACTTTTGGGATGAGTCATAAGGAGGGATGAAGGAAGAGGGTACAGCTGAGATGTGGGAAGTGAAGGAACATCAAGGGCACCTGCTCTTTGAGGTCTCTAAGCCATTTCCAGTCCCCTAGTAGTTTAGCATCTGATTCCACGCTGTTTTGCATCATTCACCACGTCCATCCAAGAACATCAGAGCTGGGAATGTCCACCCTGGACATTTTGTCTGTGGTGATATGGAGGCCCAGAGAGAGTGACTGAGCCAGGGTGAACACCCTGTACTCCCAGTGCACTGTCATGTGTTAATCCTGTGTCTCCCAACTGCCTTTGGTCCTACAAGGACCTCTCTGGATGCTACAGATCACCCAACAACAAGCCAGGTCTCCTGCGGAATCCAGCTGAGGTCTCTGTCAGTGACATCACCCTACTGTCACATTGCTATGTGAGCAGGGGCCCCCAGGTCCCTGGAAGCAGGACAGAGCATTACTCTGGTCTGTGCACCCAGCCCCTCATTTTTGCCCTTTAGAATGAGATCTTTGTGTTCATTATTAAACCCAAAAACCCTCAAGTATGAAGTGTACCACACTCTTACACCTAAAAGATTTCTTTAGGAAGGGCAGGAAGAGGCACTGTCCTGTTTTTTCTTCTCTCTCACTTGCCTCTGAGCTGGCAGCATGACAGAGAGGCTGGGCTTTTTGTTTTATGACTTTGTTAAGAGGGTTTTAACTGGGAAACTTCCATCTGTGTTTGCACTGCTTCCTGCCAGTTGGAAAGATGCTGAAACCGCTGGTAATCTATAATAATATCCTGAGGAGAAAAAAAAAGAGCCCATAAAAGTCACAACTCATAAGCTAGTTTCGGGAAATTGTGGTCCAGAGCTACATTTATGACGTCAGTGTGCATAGGGACAGAAGTGACAGAAAAGCCCCAGTGTGACTCCCAAGTCCTAGCCAGGGACATGAGTCTAAAGGAGACCCATAAACTTCGAGACATTCTCCACCACTCCCAGTTTGGATCCATCTCTGAATGCTAAGATTGGCAGGTTATCTCTCAGAATTCCTCCGTATAGATTTGATGCTATTGAACTCCCAAGACTCCCAGTGATGGGAAGGGCTGACCATGCATTCTGAACCTCCCTAGCTAGAAAGGTCTCTGGCTCCATTATGCTGTTTTGAGGGGGGATGGGGTGGCCTCTGGCCTTCTGTGTTTGTGATTCAACCCTGTACTTGTGAACTGGTAGACAGAGCTAACTCAGGGATTACTAAAAGTTCTGGTCATCCAAAATTGAATCCTAATGGTCAAGATCCTGTTTTTGCATAGCCTATTAACTAAGAATGGATTTTATATGTTTTACTTATTTTGTTTATTTATTTAAGATTTTATTTTTTTATTTGGGGGGATTGAGTGGGGGGAGGGGCAGAGGGCGAGGGAGAAGCAGACTCTCCGCTGAGCATGGAGTCTGACTCATGGGGCTCCATCCCAGGACCCTGAGATCATGTCCTAAGCTGGGGTTAGCCACTTAACCAATTGAGCGACCCAGGCACCCCTATATGTTTTAAATGTTTGTGAAAAAAGGCAAAGAAGATGCATCAACTGTACTAAGAGTTTTCCATATATTCTGGATACTAGACCCTTGTCAAATATATAATTTGAAAAAAAGAGGCGAAGAATATATGACTGAGATTGTATGTGGTCCACAAAGCCTTAAATATTTATTGCGTGTCCCTTTACAGAAAAGGTTTGCTGACTTCTGGTTTAAAGACTCCCTTCTATCTTTCCAGGAATCCAGTCATAAATGCATTCATCCCCCTGCCCATCTATGTGTATAATCAAATTCTCACCCACTCATGTAGCCAGCTTTTCAACCGCTCATCTGTCCTTTAATCTATCTATGCCCCTCTATGGCACATCTGTGCTCCCATTCATATCTCCCCCTCAATTCACCCACTATTCAGAGGTCTACCCATCCTTCCAACCATCCACCCATCCTCCCATCCACCCATCTTCCCATCCATCCACCCATCCATCCACCCCCCATCCATCCAACCATCCATCCACCTGGCTTATTCCTTTTGGATGGGACATTAAAGGATTTTCACAGTGCCTATGGCACTGAGATGGGCCTTCAAGGCCCAAAGATATATATGGCCTAGAAATCTGCCCTTGAATAGGTGTCTCTTATTTGTGGGGGGAAAGGGTGGAGTGGGGAGGAGAAATAGATAGGTAAATAGTTATGCTACTCCATGGTAAGTATAATTTGCACAATTATAGTTTTGTGCAAAATCTGCAGGAGCATGGGGAAGGGAGAGACTTATTCCCCTTTGGGGTATCTAAGAAGATTGGCAGAAGAGGTGCCCCTAAGATGGACTTTGAAGGAGCCTGAGGGAGGAGGGCACATTAAGGCAGGTGGTCAGCATGGAAATGTTCATAGGCCTGAAGGTACATGATATGTCTGGAGAATGGTGCATCATCACACATGGTTAGAACATGGGTAAGTTTGAAAAGGCAGGTTGGAGGTGGAATTGGGGGTCAAATGATTGGCCCAAAAACCAAGTACCTAAAATGCCAGGCCCAGGGTTTATGCTAGTTATTCGTTATAGACCTTGAGCAGTTATGTCTCGTGGACATCTTCAGTGCTCTGTTTTCTCATCTAAAAAAAAAAATCCTTCCCTAGCAAAAGCTGAAAATTCCTACCATGGGTTCCTCCTTTGTGCTAAGGCATTGAAGGCCTTTTCAGAAGCCAGTCTGCTGACTGGGAGAGGTAACCCTGGAAGTTATCACCATCTGATTCCCCAAGAGAAGCTCCCTCCCCTAAGAGGTCCTGTCTACCTCTCTGGCACTGCCTCCTACCATTTTTGTTGTTCGCTCCAGCCACTCTGGGCCTTCCCGCTCTTCTTCACATACTACAAATGCATTTCCGTTGCATGGCTTTTGCACGTGTTTTTCCTGCTGCTGGAATGTCCTACCCCAGATCTTCTCATAGCCAGTTCCTCCTTCTCATTCTGCTGTCAGCTCAAAGTGGTGCCCAAAACTTAGTGGCATAGAACAACCATGTTATTAGGCTTGCAAATTCTTTGGGCCAGGAATTTGGACAGGGCAAGGTGGGGAGAGTGTGTCTCTGCTCCCCAGTATCTGGGGAGGACTTCAAGACTAAGGGCAACTTGATGGCCAGGGGTTAGAATCACCCTAAGTGTCATCTTTCATGGCTTGTGGTTAGTGCTGGCTATTGTCTGGGACCTCATTTGGGCTGTTGGCCAGAACACATACTTGTGGCCTCTCCATGTGGTCTCTCTGCATGGGCAAGTTTGGGCTCCCTCACAGTATGGTGGCAGCATTCCAAGACTCAGTGTCCCAGGAGAGAGCCAGGAGGAAGTGCGTGGCATTTTTATGATCCAGCCTAAGTCACGTAGCACCACTTCCACCATACTCTATTAGTGGAGACAGTCACATAGGTCTACCCAAGTTCAAGGGGAGGGGATATAATTTCCAGCATCAGTGGGAGAAATATCAAGCTTACACTGCATAATGACCGTGTGAGATAGGAGACACTGTTATGAGCCATTTGGGGAAAATACAATCTGGGTCAACTGAGTTGTCAAAGCTGGGTTCAACTCAGTGGCTGTGCTTCTTACGTGTTCATTCTGGGACCCAGGCTGAAGGAACAGCAGGCAACCAGGGAAGGCTCCCCCCATGGTGATGGCAGGGAGCGAGCAGAAACACTGGAGGGCTTCTGAGATTCAGTCTCACGAATGGCACATCATCACTTCTGCCCACGTCCCATTGGCCAGAGCGAGTGCATGGCCTGGCCCATAGACAAGGGACAGGGATCTGCTCTCCCCATGAAGAGGCCATGGCAAGGGTGTGGATGCTAGGGGAGGGTAAGGAACCAGAGCTGTGCCTCCTCTTCTGCACCATCTCATACTTCCTTTTATTTTCTTCACAGAACCTTTCATATCTAAAATCATCTAATTTATGTATTTGTTTACTTATGTTATATTTTCATTTTTGTTCAATTCCAAATACTTTCTAATTCCCCTTGTGATTTCTTCTTTGACCCATGAGTTATTTAAAATTATGTTGTTCCATTTCCAACTATTTGTGAATTTCCCATATTTCCTCCTCCTGCTGATTTTTAATTCCATCGTGGTTGGAGAATGTACTTTGTGTGGTTTT